AAAGAAAAATAAAAAACCCCCATAATTTAAGAATAAATTATTGAAAAACAAAGCTAAGAATTGGGCGCATCCATCCAAAGAAAGCTAATATGGTTGGATGCAACCATAAGTTTTGTTGAGGCCAATCACCTGAAATTGCTCTTCATTGGTACATTTCTTGTTTGACTAGGAGCCCGCATCAAAGAATTCTTACTATTCCTAAGCATCAAGACTTTACTTTAAAATTTAAAAACATAATGCTTTTATATTTGCGTTTACTTTAGGACCTTGCACTCATTGTTGTTTTTGAGTATTTCCTAGAAATTACTTGTCATTCAAGTATGAAAACTTTATGCTTGTTTTTTCAAAAAAGAAAAAGACGTCTTTGCCAAACCAAATTCAACCGAATGAGTGCCAATGGCATTTAAACGTTATTTTCAAATGCGATTTTTAATAATGACAAATCAATTTTTTTTAGGGAATTAATAAAGAAAATCAATTTGGTTATGCCGTGATACCTTGTTTAGCCTACTCTATATCGTGACTAGCTCTTTCAATTTTTAGGACTATGAACCAGAAGATGAGAAGAAAATAGGATTTTGGGTTCATTTATAGTCAAAGTTCATCGATTATCCACGCCATAAGTTTCATTTTTCCTTCAATTCCTGGATTTGGATTCCAAATCAAGTAAGCTTCAGAAGTCGTGATAAATGGCTCGATTATTCAACTCCTCTGCAAATTACTCGAAATTTCTCATGAATAGTCTAATAACTAACAAGTTTTCAGGTTGACTTTTTTTGACTAACTTTCCAATTTAAGATTCTATTCTATTTCCTTCAAGCACCACGCGTTTTTTTAACTGATTAAAGCGCGTTTATCACTTCAAACCCCAACAAAAAGAACTTTTAAATTATTCTACAATTTCTCTGTACGTATCTATATATTACCTCACTATAAATATACAGAAGTTCATATTACAGAAGTTCATTTGGTTATTTTCTTTACGACTTCATATTACAGAAGTTCAGTCCATAAATAATTACTTAGAATTAATCTGCAGCGTGGTCTCAGTATTTATGACATAATTGTCTTCAACCCTTATTCCACGACGAGATCAGAGATTCCCATGCAGACGTTCAATATTCTACAAAGGAACCGGTACGTCTTTTGTGTTATTGTCCGTTTTCTTTTCTTTTTCATATCAAATACTTATCGGCTTGCATGAAACTAGAAGTATTATATTATTATTGCTTTCTGTCTGATTGATATTGTTATGGGATTAGATGATACTAAAGACGCATAGTAGTGAACACTAGTAATCTTGTTTTCCAACTTCCCATTATTCGTGATAAATGATCTCTTGTGCTCTTTCTCTGTTTTCTTTTATAGTTTTATTGTAGACTTCCGAAGACTTATAAAGCAATTATTGTTGGTAAAGCATGTATGAATATGTGTTTTTTTATACTATTTGTTTGAATATATTTATGCATTTGTCTATGCTTAGTAAAAAACCTAATCCAACCCAAAAACCCAACTTGGTATTAGGAACATGGGTGTTAGATGGACTAATTCTCTGTATGTAAAACTTTAATTATGGTATAATATTCCACGTAATAGTTGTTGATACTAGCATTTTTTTTAGGGTGATTGTTGATTGATTGGCAACTTACACCTAGAGGTGGAAGTGGCAGAATAATTAGCTATAATATTAAGGTTCCGTTCATTTTACCGATTCGAGTTTAGAATTTGAGTTTTGTTGCAGTAAAAAACTCTCATAAACAATCACATCTAACTTTTTTGTTACAGTAAAAAACTCTCACATAAAATCACATCTCAACTTGAATTAAAAACTCGAATTAAGGAACTAAACGGGCCTTAAATTAGACCGATGAATATAACTAGTTTTCTTCCCTGAACTGTTGGTATGTAAAGGCATGGTACAATAAGTCTAGATATTTTTATTTTTTTTAGCACACCAGTTCAATTCTGTGGGGCTGGAATCTGGTGCTCTTATAAATAGTAGGTTGGCGTCCACGTGGATCCCATTGGATGAGACCCACCATTTATGAGAGATGTGGATTTAATTCCGTATGTTTTCACACTACCACATATTGATGATATTTGGAGTGTTAAAATTATGTCTCGAATTCCTTTCAACTTAATAAAAAATCACCACAAGTGCTATTAAGCTCTACCGTTTTTTTTTTTACTGATACAAATGTTTTAACGTTTAAACTTCTCTTGAAGTTGCTTTCAATGACAAAATAATAGTTTTTTCTTTCTGTTTTTTTTTCAACGCAAATTGTTCTTTTTTGTGCTCAAAGATTGATTAGTATTTAACCAATAGCTACTTTATTCGGGTTATTTTTTTTCAAAAAAAAAAAAAAACAGAGTTGTTATACATATGGATTTTGAATAACGTTAGTCTCTATCCTTAGAAATAATGGGAGAAAAAAATAATACAAGTGGCGGTTTTTTAATTGTCTAGACAGAGATTGAGACAGGACACTTTCTTGCTAATCTTACAAAATTTCAATGATAATTTCTTTCCCGGCACCCTTTAGACAAATACTCAGGGTCCGCAACAATTCGTGCTTACCGGTATGTTAAAAGCAATCTACGGAAAATTCTTGCAAAATAGAACTCAGAAAATAGAATGCATTTGAGCCGCACATCAAACACAGAAGTCTAGAAAAATAGAAAGATAAATATGTTAAGAACATGGGATTAACATCCACTGAAACTTGCCTTTCCCGTCGGATTTTAGTTCACACTGATCTTAGCTGTATTAACAGTCCATTTTATATAAAAATAGAGAAAAAAACAAAAATAGACACGTGCAACTTAAGACAATAAAACAAGGGATTTTCTTTTGATTTAAAAATTAAAAAAAATGTCAGGTTTTGTAGTTTATAATTTCACGAATGGGTTGGATACAATAATATTGATTAATTCACGGATCATGAAATCCAATATGTGATTTCTTTAAAGATCCATTCCCTTTATTCTTCAGAAGAAAATCAAGAAAAATATGTTATTGTTTTGGCATTACAGAGCATCCGAATACAATCCTGTATGATTTCAAATATTTAATTCTTTGTTATAACAAAAGCTAGGAATATTGAACATTATAATTGATTCCGGAAGGTAGAATAATATGTTTTTTTTTTTCATGAGATTAGAATTATTTTTAATTTACGTGTATTTTTTGTGATAGAAAATACTGTAACGAACCATGAACTATAATTTAAATCATGATATAAATTCTCTTACCAAACGTCTCCGTGTTTCGTCTTTTTTATTTCGTCGTTTGTCATTTACTCCCGTCAAAACACATTCAGGTCAATTAAAAAAAGGTCAATATATAATCATACAAAGGCATGCATATTGATCCGCCTTGTGAACTTCAATTTCTAAGGCACTAATATTATAAAGTACGTTATATATATAATACTATATAACTTAGCTATATAGTAAGTAAGTGGCATGTTGCATTTCAATTTGGCATCGCTGTTGTCCACCCACGTTTTCTTTTTAATTCTTTAGTACGAGAGATTTGTACCAGTAGCGGCTAGCGCATTGTATAACTAAACAAAATTCCTGATGCTTCATACGTCACGTTGTTTTCTTTTGGCAGGTTTATTATTAGTTTTTAAGGATTTAGCTATTTTTTTTATTGGATTATATATATGTTACTATGCATTTTTCTTTTATTGCACCTTTGATAGTAGTTAGTAACACAATTCTTTGGTGGAGTAATTTTTTATTAGTAGATTCTATTTTTACATTTATAATCTTTTTTGCTCTTATTTTATTGTCACATAAATTAAAAAAATGTATACAATTCAAATCTGACCTAGTCCGAATCGCATATTAGAGATTTATTTTTGTAACTTTGTTCAAGGAGGTTTTATATATTAGATTTTTTTCAGTATGTCAATATATCGATAGGTCAAATTTTATATCCGTTATATATGTATAAAATCACGTAAAAATTTAAAAATACGTAGATCTAATAATTAAAAAAATTTGGTCCCGTTCATTTCGCCGATTCGAGTTTAGAATTCGAGTTTTGCTATAGTAAAAAGCTCTCAGAAACAGTTACATCTAACATTTTTGCTACAGTAAAAAGCTCTCACACAAAATCATATCTCAACTCAAATTACAAACTCAAATCAGCGAAATGAACGGGCCCGGCTCTCCCGTTTAATTTTTTTATTATAGTAAAAAATTTTCATATAAAATTATATTTTAACTCAAATTAAAAATTTAAATCAACAAAAACTAAACAAACTCTAAATGCTAGAGAATTTTCCTATATTTAAGTGGTACTTTGTCTAGCAAGTTTTCTTTTTCCCGTTGATGATCAATAGTGACATGTACGGTTGTTGAAGAATTAGAGATTGAATCTTGCGGCAGAGGGGCATAAATAAGCTCCAATGAACTTGAGACTCACGTGACAATACATAGAGAGTCCCATGTGACTTGAGCGTAGAGGTTTTGACGCAGCTTCCGGTGTCCGGTTAAAGAGGAACCTTGGTGGTCCCCAGGGCCCCACCTCATCACTCGAATGGACTTTTGCATTAAAAGCTGTTAAAGGTCAACTCTACCTCACTGTCTCCAACTATCAACCCCTCTTTCCTTCTCTTCTCTCTCTCTCTATCTAATTTCGCCCAGTCAGCAATCCAACGGCTAATCAAAACCTTTTGACCTTATCCCACTCACCCTTATCTCTCTCTCATCATTCATCATATTTTATACATGATCTCCAACCGGTTCCGTCCGTTGGAGGGTCCCACATAAAAGAGGCGCAGTCAATGGTCCTAATAAAAATCTCCACGTGGCGAATTCTAATTAGTCATTGAGTTTGACGGCAGAGAAAGAGAAAGAAGGGACAGGGTTCTTCACCCGATGCCTTGCATTGGGAGGGCATCAGTTTGACTCGAACCCACTCTTTCTTTCTTTTTTTTTTTTTTTTTTCTTTCTTTTTCGCCTGTTTTGCTCTCCTCGTCATCACCTTTTTTGTTTTTATTATTTTAATCTCCTTTTCTTGTTTAATAAGAAGACCCATTTTTCAGTTTCGTTTTTGGTTAATTCTTGATGGTTATTGGGACGAAATGGCCGTGGAACTAATGATGGGTTTTGGGATCGACAGTTTCGCAGCCAACACCACCACCAACATGGAAGAGAATGCCGTGAAGGAAGCTGCTTCAGCTGGGATTCAGAGCGTGGAGAAATTCTTGAGACTTGTCTCTCAACAAAATCACCATCAACAATACCACCAAGATGTGACGGAGTACAGAGAAGTTGCAGATGTGGCTGTGAACAAGTTCAAGAAGGTCATTTCGTTGCTCGACAAAGGAAGAACTGGCCACGCTCGTTTCAGAAGAGCTCCTCTATCTTTACCATCTTCATCATCTCCTCCTTCTGATCATGCTCCAACTCAGGAAAATCCATCTGGATCTTCAGTTCTCGAAGTTATACCAATAAATCACCAGAAGCCAGAGCACGGCGGCTCTGCTTTCAAGGTTTATTGTCCGACGCCGGTTTTGCGTTTGCCTCCTCTGCCTCACAACCACAACCAGCAGGTCCAGCCTCGCCATAATCACCACCACCAGGTAAATAATGCTCCGAGTTTGTTGGGCAAAAATGGTTCTGTGGACAAGAAGGAATCGGGTACGACAATCAATTTCTCGCCGTCGCCGTCGATCTCCGCCGCCAATTCGTTCATGTCGACTCTTACTGGGGACACCGATAGTACTATCCAGCCCTCGCTTTCTTCTGGGTTTCAGCTCACTAATCTGTCGCAGTCCTCGGGAAAACCGCCTCTCTCGTCGTCGTCGTACAAGAGGAAGTGCAGCTCCGTGGACGACGCTGCTTTGAGGTGTGGTTCGTCTTCTGAACGGTGCCACTGTTCGAAGAAAAGGTTTGTTTTTCCTCAATAATTCCCTATCTTCTTACGTCGTTTTTCTTTTTGTGGGTTATGATTGTTATGTCGTTTTTTAGCAGGAAATCTAAAGTGAAGAGAGTAATCAGAGTCCCGGCAATCAGTATGAAGATGGCAGATATTCCACCGGATGAGTACTCATGGAGAAAATACGGCCAGAAACCCATCAAAGGCTCACCTCATCCACGGTAAACAATAACCACCTCTCTTTCTTTTCCCACACTTCACGTTTCCTTTGGTACGAACCGAGTCTTGACTCGGCGCTTGACCCGTCGTTGACCCTCTCAACTCGTTGACTATTAATCTATTATTACAAGCATTTATTATTATTGTTAATCTGTTACTGTTTTTTTGTTTGGCTTTGTCAAGAAACTCGGTGGGTTTTAACGTCGTTTTGCAATTTGCCATGATTCAGTGGATATTACAAGTGCAGTAGCCTGAGAGGCTGCCCAGCGCGGAAACACGTGGAACGCGCTCTAGACGATCCGGCGATGCTAATTGTGACGTACGAAGGCGATCATAACCACACTCAGTCTGTCTCGGAAGCAACGGCTTCCGCCCTTGTCCTTGAATCATCGTAGTCAACTGGTCGGACGGCTGAGAATTTGAATTATCGTCATCAACTAATCCGACGGCAGAGGATTTGAATCATCGTATAGTTAACTGATCGGACGGCTGAGGATTCGTCTCTGTTAAAAAACAGTATTATTATAGTCACCGGCAATGAGTGGAGTTATAGTCAACTATGGGGCATTGGGCACCGTCTCCGAGAAGTTAGTGGATACGGCATGGCCTGCTCATACAGAAAAAAGCAGTGTAGGATTCCCTTTTTTTTGTTTTTGTTTTTGTTTTTTAACGCTGGTTTTTGACGTTTTTGGGTTTAGATTAGAAATGGAAACGATATATATGAGGTGGCATAGATATGATGGATTTGGTTGGAAGGTCAATCATGCTAGGCAGTGGGTTTTTTTTTTTTTTTTTTTTTTTAATATATATAAAAATCTTTCTTCATTTGCGTTAATTACTGCCCGTTTAATTTGATAATTTAAATTAAAATATAATATTATGTGAGAATTTTTTATTATAATAAAAAAATTAAATATAATTAT